AAAAATATATTGGTTGCTTATATAAGCATAACAAAATCTACAGCCAGGCATCCCAAACCCCGCTCCAAACGCTCGAGTGGACGGCCCGGTCACTGACCAAAAAAAAAGACAACCCACCCGGGCGCCTCAAATCGTCCTGCCTGACCGGCACCCTTCAGATCCAGCCCACAAGTAGGGCGGATATGGGGTACACACACTTTGGACCCCACCCACCCCAACCCCACTCCATCCACACACAAAAAATCCAATCCCCAGAATCTGGGAGCCCTAACTTAGTTCACTCCACTCTCGTGCCGACTCTTCTTCTCCCTCTACTCCGATTTCTTCGATTCCGATCCACTCCGACAAGCATGTCGTGTGCCGGCAACCGCTCCGACTCCGACCATGATGTCGACGAGAAGTTGGCCCTTTGCATTGCCCTCCATAGGTCCAAGGTGGACACAGGGGGCAGTTCCGGATCTGCAGCCTCGCCTCTCCCCAGCCGGTGCAGCGCGGACACCGAAGCTGGCCCCTCCTTGCCTGCACGCAGCTTCGCAAGGGCAGCGGTGGGTGCTTGTTGATACGTCTCCAACGTATCTATAATTCATGAAGTATTCATGCCAATATTTTATCATTCTTGGATGTTTTACAATAATTTTATAGCAACTTTATATCATTTTTTGGGACTAACCTATTGCCCCAGTGCCAAGTGCCAGTTGCTATTTTTTGCTTGTTTTTTAAATAGCAGAAAATCAATATCAAACGGAGTTCAAACACCGCGGAACTTTTTGTGGGTTTTTTTATGGGCCAGAAGACTCCCGGTGGGCCAAAGCGGCACCTGGGGGGTGCCCCGAGGGGGGCACAGCCCACAGGGCCCGCCAGGGCCCCCTTGCGCGCCTGGGTGGGTTGTGCCCTCCTCGGTGGCCTCCCGTACTCCTTCTTTCCACTATAAATTCCTAAATATTCCGAAACCCTTCGGGGTTAACCTAAATCAGAAGTTTCGCCGCCGCAGGGTTCCGTAGCCACCGAAAACCAATCTAGACTCGTTCCAGCACCCTGCCGGAGGGGGGAATCATCTCTGGTGGCCATCTTGATCATCCCGGCGGCCACCACGATGAGGAGGTAGTAGTCCACCCTCGGGGCTGAGGGTTTGTACCAGTAGCTATGTGTTTAATCTCTCTCTCTCTCTCTCGTGATCGATATCATGGGCTTTGTTAATATAGATAGATCATATGATGTTTCTCCCCTCTATACTCTTGTTGTGATGAATTGAGTTTTTCCCTTTGAGATCTCGTTGTTATCGGATTGAATACTTTTATGGATTTGAGAACTCTTGATATATCTCTTGCAATTGAATACTCGTGGTGACACTGGGGTATCGTATTGATTTACTTGATATATGTTTTGGCACTCAACTTGCGGATTCTCGCGGTGACACTGGGGTAATCTATGCATAGGGGTTGATGCACATTCTTGTCCTTGTTTCTCCGATAGAAATCTTGGGGCACTCTTTGTAGTTTTTTGTGTGGATTGAGTATTATGAATATGAATATGCTTTGGTGTTATTGTAGTACGAACTCTAGGATAGATCAAATGGAAAAAATAGTTTTGCGTTATTTTAGTACAAACTCTTGAATATATCGAACGGAAAGAATAGCTTTGAGGTGGTTTCATACCCTACAAACAATTCTTATCTTTTGTTCTTCGCTAATAGGAACTCGGGAGTGATTCCTCATTACACTTTGAGGGATAATCATATGATCCAACTATGTTAGCATTGTTGAGAGATTGCACTAATACCGTTTTGTGCCAGTTTACGATTTGCTACCTTGCTGTTTTTATTTATTCAGATTATAAAAATACACTTCTACCATCCATATTACACTTTTATCACCACCTCTTCGCCGAACTAGTGCACCTATACAATTTGCCATTGTATTGGTGTGTTTGGAACAGAAGAGATTTCTTGTATTTGATTGCAGGGTCGTTTGAGAGAGACCATCTTCATCCTACGCCTCTCACGGATTGATAAACCTTAAGTCATCCACTTGAGGGAAAATTGCTACTGTCCTATAAAACTCTGCGCTTGGAGGACCAACACATGTCTACACAAGAATAAAGTTGCGTACACTACTAGGGAAAAGCCTAGCAGCAGCGCGGGGGGCGGCGCTACCAATAAGGCGCTACAGCTAACGTATAGCAGTAGCGCTGGTCCACCCGTGCTACTGCTACACAAGTGTTGCAGCAGCGCGCTTAAAGGAACCTCGCTACTGCTAATAGCTATAGCGCGCTTCACCTGTGCGCGCTACTGCTACAACCGCGCTGCTGCTAACTTTTCTTCACTCGCTACTGCTAATTTTAGTAGTTTTTTGTTTTTTTTGGCATATTTGTTTTGTATTTGAACAGGCTTTATAGAAGAATCTTTAGCACATACAAATGTCATCATGATACACATACAAATGCCTGCGAGACCACAAATGTAATCATAGCATATACATACAAATAGTCTTGTCATAATCATCATCCAACACAAAGTGGTATCTTGTCATCATCTCGAAAATAGCGATACATGCAAGTCTCAAATACTTGCAACTACAACGTCATCCATCTAAACAAAGGTATACGCGAGAAGAGCTATCACTATGAGTGAGAGCGGAACTATGCAGTACATGAGATGGCGGTTACGAGTCCTCTCTCGCGCTAGCGTGAACCTCAAGTAACTAGCTTCTCCTTCTTGTCTGCTTTTGAAGCCTTTATGGCTGGCGTCCGAGAACCCATTCACTTGCGCCTGACACTCATGGCACTCGTTGTACACCCCCGGAACCTTCCCTTTGTAGACGACATAGCAGTCCTCTCTCGGCGTCAGTACCATCATCGAGGCGGACCTGCAAACCTTACTTAGCAGTCAAAAAGTCGAGGTAGTCTTGTTCACCCTCATAATCCATCTCGTCTGCATCTTGGTCAGAAGGCCCAGTTTCTTCGTTGTTCGACATGTTTCCTATGATTAAGTGTCCTCATTTATTTCTAAAAGTATAAATAAATGAGAAATGAGATAAAAAATAAATCTATGTGCCAGCACTCGATATGCCAACTATGTAGCACAAATCATGCCTTTATTCACAGGAAATTTCGGCATGACCTTTGCTAAAAAATGGACATATCGAGCG